ACTCAAATGATCTGCTTGTTAACATTTTAATTTCTGCGGTCTCTGGCATGGATCTTAACGTACAATACAAACTTCATCCGAAGTATGCTGCAAGAAGAGTGTAAAAGGCCTGAAAGGAACCGACAATTTGTAATCGTATACATGTCGTTTTTTGGAATTGCATGGGAATGGTATTTTCTTAAAATTTCAAGGGGGTTGCAGGTTCTTCATCTTCTCCGGTGTAGAGGAACGACTACGACCCCAATATATACTGAATCAGAGCAATACCCCTTCTCCATAGACAATGATTCTTATCACACCCGTCAGATGATTGCCTCCATAAGTAAGATACTTCTTGCTGAGGCCTCAAGGTGAGATCAACGCTGCGTCACAACTAGCACTCTGGAAGCATGCCCGTAGCTCAGGTTTAAATGACGTTTATCCCAGCGCCTCTTTCCTTTGATATTTAAATGTCCTGCATTTCTGTAGGAAAAGTTACTGATACTGATAAGCGCGCAGAAAACTAAACTCGCGACTCAACCTACCAGACTATCAATAATGATCAAATCGAAAATTTTTCACTGATGAGGACTAGTGGGTGATGTTGAAACCTAGCGTTTTGTATAACTTTCTGTTCATAAGTTAGTTTCTTGTTTTGCTTTAGTGCAGTAACAACCTTCTTTGAATACTTATTTGATCCTTTATTTCACTGTAAAATACGGTGAAATTTATGTAGGTCGAATACGTATATGTTCAGATAGAATGAGAGATCACTGAACGTAGGCTACTGTTTGGGAACGAAGAATCCTCAGACATAGGTAGGCTTTAGGAAGATCATGCTCAGGTTATGCTTAAAATGTTTTACCTGTTATACATTAAGGACATTTATTCTAACCAGGTTTAATGATATAATTTTGCATTTACCATTGAAGCTCATATTCTGTTTCAGCCCAGGAAAGGAAGTTGTCCTAATTTCTGATTGCGAAATCCTTGTCGTCAGTGGTATACGGGTATTCGCGTCAGGTTCACGATTTATGAACTGCATATGGAGTTTGTTTCGTCCGGAATGCCTTCTCATCCTTGTACTTTTTTGCAAATTTGCTTTCAATTACCGGTAGAATTCGTTTGATTTCATTGATGCTGTTCCAAACGGCTGATGGTTCGTTTTTGTATATACTGTTTTATGATTCGAACTTTAATACGCGGCGTTTCTGTCGCTTACTTATGTTGTATATCGGAAAAATGTCAGAAATTGTATGAAGATATATTTGATATTTAATGAACGCAAATGGTATTTGTGAGAATAATGCAGTGTTTCTTCTAAAAACGATCGATACTCTCCATATTAGCTTAACTCTACAAAGCCATGTGACGCAGTATACAGCACCGTTCCCTTTCTCTTAGTTTACCATGGACAGTTTAAACTAGCCATGAATCCTATGTATTCCTGCATCTTCTATTCTAGGTGTCATTATTTGACGACAACAGTACTTTACTTTCTACCGGTGACGTTTCAAGAGTCGCTATCCCGTATATGGTTTCGCATAACTGTCATAAATATTCCGTAACCATGAAATAGCACTTAATACCTTAAATGTAAGGCGAGAACTGTACAAATTAGATAGCGATTATATTCATCGAGAAACCTGAGACAATGCACTATACACAGAAGTTTCACAGAAGGAGTGAAAGTTTCGACCTGGCCTGCCAGCTGTTTTCGACCAATATGATTTGACTCGTAGTTGTACCGGTGCGCAAAGGCGTGCAACAAGTTTGCTCCGATCATATATTTATTCCAGAGTCCTCGTCTGTTGCGTGGACATGATTTATCTTTCATCACTGACATCGATAAGGTCACCTGCCGCGGTCACTTGATTATCCCTTAATTTTTTTAGGCCTTTCAGAGCTTTAGAAAATGTTATCTAGACATAAATAAAGCGTTGTTGTGCTGCATGTTCAAATTCAAACGAAGTTATGCTATTGAATATGTTACGAACAAGTGGCGTAGTGAGCCATTGTGCAGGCATTCAAATCCGAGCGATGAGGAAGTGAGCAGGGAACGAAAGCGCGGGGGAAAAGTGTGCAGCTAGTCAGTTTATATGAACCATGTAAAATGAAGGCCAACAAACCTAGTGAGCATTATGGTACCAAAAATTATGATAATGGAAAAGTGAGAGTAAAATTGAAAAGGTGCATTGATTCAGTCAAGAAGAAACGAAGTTGAGCAAAATAAAATAACAGCCGAAGACTTAGAAAAAGATAAATTTTGAAGAAATCGACATATACAGGTTCCGCTGAAAGGAGAAGAACTAGAAGAAGCAAAGGCTAAAGTAGTTCAGCTGCGGTCAAGAAAGACACTTTTATTTAATTATGACGTTGTTTTCTTAACATCGGCGCTTTTTATCATCAGTTTTGTGATCAGATCGTTTAACCTGGTCACCATTGGACGAACGTCATCGATCAGGCCAGCCGAAACCATCGCGTTTTCGTAAACCTGAAAAACAAACCCGTCACGACAGTGTTACATATTTTCACTTTAAAAGCGTACTTGCTCCATTATCTGGACTGCCAATTCATTGTCGGTCTGCCGCAGACTTTGAATTTCTTTCATAATCGGATGACTAAACGTATAAAATACATTAGCTTGAAGCATATGAGCAATAAATGCTTGCATTTTTGGAAAGGTATGATAGCCTCGACTAAATATACAGCTACTTATTTTTATTTATTCATGGTCTTACATTTTTGCCACAGAGAAATTAAGTAATTGGGCTGCTGATCTGTTATTTATCTATATCTGTTAATGATCCATATTTATAAAGCTAATACATCTGACTAAACGGTAATTACAGGGCCTTTTGATAGCTTATCTCACATCTCAGTAGTTGGTTGCGTACACTGAAAGCATGACGGCCAGCGACTTTGATTTTGATTCAAAGCCGTAACTTTCCGCCAATTCAATATGCCCAGCTGATGGTGGTGCCAAACTCATGAGGAGCTGTGGTCAATCATGTCTATTATCGAAATCTGAACAATCAGTAATCCTGTTTAAGTCCTGCGTCTAAGCGCTAAGAGATGGACGTTCAGGATCGAGGAAGATATGCAAAAACCATGGAATCAAAATTTTCACGAGATTTCTTCCATCCATTGTGATCTGTCTTTTGTTGCAGGTTTATTCAAAACACTAGTCATAATTGCTCTATGAATGTGAAACCCGGATTTAGTTTAAGGAAGAACTCAGAAGGTTTTGCTTGTTCTGTATTCAGTATTAGCGACAGCTGTTTAACATTAAGTTAACACACTGTATTACTCAAACACTGCAGTGTGCAGACGAACATGTCTCCTCAATTAAAAGTCGAGTTTAGTTATGTCTGTCAATGTGTTCACTTTCAAAATAATGTTCTTATCTGATTAATAATGATTTTAATGGGTTGCATCCAACGATCGTTCTTAAAACGCCCGTAATTTCGTCGTTAAAAACAACAATGGACTGACAAAGCGTAGATCATAAGGTGAATGGAAATCTGTTCAAAAACTTTTTTGCCACACAGGGCATATATTGTAAATGATGCTACCTGCTAGTGATGAAAAATTTTAAACCTAAGGTAGACCAGAGGCAAAACAAATCTAAACAAACGAAACGAATTATACTGCTTTCACTGACATCTACGTTTAAACGAAGCATGAACAGCACAGAACTATCGTAAAAACTCAGATACCAATAGCGCCTTGGAAACCGGGGCTGTTCATCGGTATAGTGACAAACTCAACCGAGAAGTTTCGGGTTAGGACACGGTCGGGTTGATCACTTTGGATCCTTCTAAGAGAGATAAATGAGTATCACTCTGTGAGAAGGAAACAGCAGACAATACACTATAGTTGCTGTAAACTGCATTTTTAAAGTAAGGCAATTCTGGCCCATGGCACGGAAACTGACGTCGATGCCCCATTGTTAGTTTAATGAAAAGAAGTGCGTCCGAAATGGCTTAAGCATAAATAGATAAGGAGGACGGACATCCTGACGGTTACAAACATTTATTGCCCTTTTTAATTTTACAATTATACGACGAAGAAACTCCAAAAACTCACGAAGGATTGATTTCCAGCGTTGGCCTCAAAATCACGTATCGCTGATCAGTGGTCAGTTTGTTAGCAAAGGACTGAATGCGTAAGAAGTTGCGAGCAGCGCTCATGTCAGGTACAGAAATCAAACACGGATACGAGGTAAGCTTGCGCGTAGCCTGCAAACAAAAGTGGTAGTACAGCTGAAGTCTACCATTTATTAAGCGATATCTCGGGGCATACCTTTATTTCATTAACTTTCTTTGATCCCAGACAATCTTTGATCCAGTTCATCAGATCTTTTATTTCGCTGGACGACAGCCCGCCTTCAACTCCTGTAAAAAATGCCACACATAAACATGGGAGTCGCTTCAGACCAGAGACATCGATGCCTGCAAACCTTTTTCCGCATCAACGTCGCCTTTGTCCTCCTTCAGACACTTTTCCACTGAGGTCAGAGATTTCCGATCGAACTGATTTAGTGCCAACATCGTCACTTCGTCCGCAGGATCGAAACAGAACAAAACCTCGCTCGATTTCTCCTTGAACGCTTCGTAGTACGGGGAGCTCTCGGCAAGTTCTCGACTAAAAATCAAAAAAACACGTTCGCTTTGATCGTCATTTTATTTCCCGCACACAAATCCGACCTGTTTTAGGAAAGAAACAAGGAAAAGAAAACATACAGTGGACTAGAGTAAAGCTCTGGAAAACTAACAATATAGGAAACATGCAGTCAAATATCCAAGCGACAATCTGCAATGACTTCACTGCTCAATATTATGAAAGCTGCATAAGCACTGTTCAATATATGTAGGCGATTATGCACTGGTCAAATCCATGGAATATCACTAAAGAAACAAGTGCAGGATGTCCAAATATTTCATATTCTCCACAGCCACGGCCATATCGAGCATACTATTCGTTTCATTGATTAATAAAAGAATCAGCAGAAATTAAACTTTTATTTTTGTTATTTTATCATTTAACCGAATCCAAACGTACAAAAGCATGTGACCGAGCATGTCGTGACTGGATGTCTGACGCCATTCCAAAAAAGTTTCATTAAAATGCATTCACAGCCCGAACGCAGTTCAGTGATATCACGATGACTAGATAAGCATATCTTGTTTATGATGAGAAACTGGTCATTGAAAATGACCTGATCTGATTTCTGTTTGAAACCTTAGGCCTTTGCTCACCACGGTGTCTTTCATAGCTAGGTTTTCGCTCTACAACTTGTTTCCATTTTAATTTTGGTTACAAAATAGTTTAGTTTAGCAAATTATCTAATAATAATTGGCAATATCACGGATGTCACTAAATGTTTTTTATCCATGTACCGCAGATTTAGTAAACGGACAGAAATAAGACAATATTAAATCATCAATAAGCAGCTGGCAAATTTAACCTAAAGGCATAAAATTTTAACATTCGACTGCTGCTATCTTGCTGGCTGACAACTGAGAGTTCGTTGGAGGTCGCCGAGACTTCCACAATGACTAAAAAATAGATTCTGCAATAAAACCCCTAGTATGAGACCAACTGCTCAAGCAATCTCTCATTAATAAGGAGTACATGCAAAACGTATTTTTTAAGGGCCTAAAGACTGCATATCTAAACCGAGTTCAGCATATCTAAATTCTGCTATAAGGTTTAGGTTCATTACTATAGCTCTTCAAAATCTGTTCACAAAATAATCAATCCTTGATTTGCTGACAGATTCGACTGATTTAAGAAATAGGGGTCTAATAAAGCAAACAACCGCAAGAAATTTACGAATAAATAAATGTTTCACCTGGGAGCACAGAGGTAGTAAATGTCGCGCTGACCAGCCTGCATTCTACTGCAGTAGTCTTCCAAGGAAATTTTCACTCCTTCTCTCTGGCTGG